ACTAAAATATGTTAATGATACCCATGAAAGTTTATGAATAAACATGCTCTTACATTCTTATTCGTGTGTCTACGAAAATGAAATATTATCAACTTCTACGAGGTATTAATGCTCTTTTTTTTTTGTAAAATTTATTTCAAATTATCGTTATCCCTATTTACTAATTAAATCCATTAAAAATGGCTCATCATTGATTCCATGTATTATAATCTTTCAGAAAACATTCAAAATACTTTATCCAAAACAGAAATTTTTCTCATTGGAAATTTTGAAACCAACGATAGTACAAAATTTTGTAGAATAATATATCATGGAAATGTTCCCATAGAAACCGAAATTTTTTAATGAAGACCAAAAAAAGAAAGAGGATATTCTTCTCTTTTTTTTCCCCCTACTAAAAGAGAGGATTTCATAATCCTAATTTTTATCACGAAATAGGAAATAATAAAAGCAAAAATTGAGATTGCACGACAAGCTACAAGTTTCATCGTCAAATAACATGTTACTATGATCTTATTGCTATCATACTTATGGCGGATTCAACAAGAACACCTTTTGCAAAATGAGTTTCCCCCTCCAAGTATTATCTTACAAGCCAAATGTATCATCTACTGTAAATTTTTTTGTCAACATCTTCGAGGCAATTGTCAAATAATACAGAGAGAGAGACGGAAAAATCATTTACCAAGAGCTGGTCTTGTTGTTTTCTGAAATAAGTATGATGATAATAAAGATCCTAATCGCTGATTAACCTGCAATTTGGATCCACTATTTGTTGATGAATCTTGATCTTGTATTCTCATCTCAATTGCGCTTTCAAGTGTATGAAATTGGATCTTAAAGCTAAGTAATGACGCTAATGGATGCTTCTATTCTGTTTCTTGTGGCAAACCAAATAGTTTGCTTTGAGTAAAATCAATTACTTAATTTTCTTCAATTCAACGTATACATTTGAATACCAGTTGATTTTTATTTTCTCTTATTACTTCTCGATTTGTGGTAAAGATATGGATAAGGAATAGAGTTGTCTCGACGATTAAGTCACTCAGAAGTCATAAATCATAAAAATTAAGATATTTTGACTTAATAATTTTTGGAAAGAAATCTAAATTAACTTTTTTTCTAGACTATTTGGATTTCGCCGAAACAACAACTCATGGCTGTCGGAAGCCAGATGACGCCTAAAGCACACAATTATTGCCCCTCAATATAGACTTTGGGACTAGAACGAGTTTATGACATTGTCTCTAAGGCCGCAACCATCTATACGATGTTAAGACATCTGCTAAATTTACTTTTCCTAAAAAGTATATTCAATAATTAAAACTTTACGCCTAAAATTTTATTGTAATTATGTTTAACAATGTTGTTATTTGTTACCAATCCATACTTTGAACTTAAACTAATTTTACTTTGTAATTTCATGGTTCTCTAATGTTCTATTAGAGTTCATATTCCATGGAATTTTAGTAGATTTAATTGCTATTTCGTAAATTTAAAATTTAATAGATTCATAAATTATTCATTCAATCTAACACTGTAATTTAATGTTGTAGTGAAACTCTGGGTCTAAATGGTAACCGCAGAATTTTTGCTGAATTTGCAGAATTTGCTGAATTACTGTTGATTTCTTGCAAAATTTGCTGAATAATATTAAACTTAAAT